TTCGTGTATGGTGTAGAATTACCCTGGTATGTATAAACTGGATGTCCTGGTTCGTGTATGGTGTAGAATTACCCTGGTATGTATAAACTGGATGTCCTGTTTTGTGTATGGTGTAGAATTACCGTGGTATGTATAAACTGGATGTCATGGTTCGTATATGGTGTAGAATTACCCTGGTATGTATAAACTGGATGTCCTGGTTCGTGTATGGTGTAGAATTACCCTGGTATCTATAAACTGTATGTTCTGGTTCATATATGGTGCTGAATCCCCGTGTTAGTGTGAGGTGAACAGTAACATAATATTTCTATTACATAATAGAAAGTTGAGTGTTACATAGAAGCTAAACTCAACGATTTATACGGGAGATGAAATTTAATGCAAGACCTTTGACCTTTTTTCCCATCTATACTCGATCACACGTACATCCATGTTTGTTCAAGCCAGAAGGACCATACGTTTTTGACGCCCCCTACCGGCTATGATTTATGACGCGATGCCAGTATCATGTAAAGTTTACAATGCTGAACCCACAACACTACGCCTTCTTAGTAGTTCAGTCCATACTACAGGTGTCGCTTCCTGACCTGCGACAGCACCCTGCTGGAATTTCATTGTGGTGGATAAGAAATATCTATTTTGTGTGATTCCACAAACATCTGTTTTGTATGATTCTACAAATATCTGTTTTGTATGATTCTACAAACATCTGTTTTGTGTAATTCTACAAATATCTGTTTTGTGTGATTCCACAAACATCTGTTTTGTGTGATTCTACAAATATTTGTTTTGTGTGATTCCACAAACATCTGGTTTGTGTGATTCCACAAACATCTGTTTTGCATGATTCCACAAATATCTGTTTTGTATGATTCTACAAATATCTGTTTTGTGTAATTCCACAAATATCTGTTTTGTGTGATTCTACAAATATCTGTTTTGTGTGATTCACAAATATCTGTTTTGTTGTGATTCCACAAATATCTGTTTTGTATGATTCTACAAATATCTGTTTTGTATGATTCCACAAATATCTGTTTTGTATGATTCTACAAATATCTGTTTTGTGTGATTCCACAAATATCTGTTTTGTATGATTCTACAAATATCTATTTTGTATGATTCCACAAATATCTGTTTTGTATGATTCCACAAACATCTGTTTTGTATGATTCCACAAACATCTGTTTTGTATGATTCCACAAACATCTGTTTTGTATAATTCCACAAATATCTATTTTGTATGATTCTACAAATATCTGTTTTGTATGATTCCACAAACATCTGTTTTGTGTAATTCTACAAATATCTGTTTTGTATGATTCTACAAATATCTGTTTTGTGTGATTCCACAAATATCTGTTTTGTGTGATTCTACAAATATCTGTTTTGTATGATTCCACAAACATCTGTTTTGTCAGTATCAGAATTAATTAGAGCTTTAGAATTTACAAAACAGGTTCTACATCTCAAAACCGGCTGAAATTAGGCACTGGATTTATCTTCTTGTCTTGTTACTGGGTCGGGCGTGGCCTAGACGCTGTGAATCCCACTGTCTGTAGTTCGAGTCCCGTTATGCAAGATTACGAATCACACTTTTGGATCGGGGGGTGCGTTATAAGATTGACAGTCAAATCCCATTACTCAATTTCAGCGGCCTAAGAGTTAGCAGTAGAAAGGGTTGACTAGCCGCCCTCCCTCTTGTCCCCTAGGGACGGATATCGTAATTAGCGTTTGTTTTTTTTTCAGTATATCCACTCCATTCTTATTATCCCCATATCAATCTATCTTTTCAATTTTTCTACACCTACCTACCCCCTCTTTGTCTTCAGATTTTACCGACTTCTTCTACTTCAACGGCTGGTTTGTTACGTGTTGCTGTGTTTGGTTTTGATTTAATATTATCTTATCTCTTTCAAGCTTCCTCGTTTCGTAAAACCTTGTTTGATTCATTAAAGCGCCTTTTTTTAACCACGAAAACCATTTCTTTTTTAAAACTAATATACGGACTGTATGACCTATCCTGATATTTTATTCTTCATCTTCACGTGCTCAACACGTGCAGTTATTAACCACCTCTTCTCTGAAAATATTTAATTAAACCAGTTGTGTGTGTGTTTTTTTTGTTTTTTTTGTCCTCGCTCGTCTTTGGAAAATTTCATACCAAATAACACGCGTGCATACACCCTATCATTGGACGTAGCTCGTGTGGACCGTTCTCCAATCCGCTTCATTTGTTCCTTGCATTTCTGTTCGGTACAGAATGTGTGGTATTTTTCTTGAAGGTGGGGGTGGGGAGTTGGCAGAAGGAAAGGGAGTAGTTATTCCTTTGTGGAAGGAACTATCGGTTACGTTTATGATCATGAAAACTCTTTGTAAAGGAAACGATCCTACCTTCGTTACTTACAATCACACAGAGAAAGTTGAATTTGGAGTCTTTTTGTTTCTGACTGCTGTCATTATTATATTATTATATGTTTCCAACGGTTTATGAGAGAAACAAGCAAGAACACGTATATCGATTTCATCGCCATAACCTCGTGTAGCACTAATGACAAGTAGTCCTAGGAATGATGCAAACGTTACTGAAGACTAACCTCGTGTAGCACTAATGACAAGTAGTCCTAGGAATGAAGCAAACGTTACTGAAGACTAACCTCGTGTAGCACTAATGACAAGTAGTCCTAGGAATGAAGCAAACATAACTGAAGACTAACCTCGTGTAGCACTAATGACAAGTAGTCCTAGGAATGAAGCAAACATAACTGAAGACTAACCTCGTGTAGCACTAATGACAAGTAGTTCTAGGAATGAAGCAAACGTTACTGAAGACTAACCTCGTGTAGCACTAATGACAAGTAGTGCTAGGAATGAAGCAAACGTTACTGAAGACAATTTTACTTGGTTTAAAACACACACCAGAAGATGAGGGAGATCGTTTGTCTTCTAATCTTCCTATTTATTTTATGATTTCGATTACAAAGTCCTGCGGTGAGACAGTGGTAAGGACTTACAACGCTAAAATCCAGGGTTCGATTCCCTGCGAGTAGCGCAGCAGCTAGCCTAATGTGACTTTGTTCTAAAACAAACAAGAGCAATCAGAGAGGTTGCCTTCTCTCGCATCGCCGCTCCTATTCAAGATTACATGCGTTTATATTGCAAAAATCAAATTTCATCTTCGAAAACTCAAAAATCCTTCTCAGATCCTGAATGATCAAAGATCTGGATTTTTTTTTTTTTTTTTTTTTTGTAGTCTGATGAGAAGTCTCAACCTTAATGTGCCCACGAAATTTGGTACAAATCTGATAACACTTTACAGAGTTG